TGGAATAGGTAGTTCAACCTGGGGCTTAACGGTCAGAGGTTGTGTGCAAATGATGTGGGTTGAGATGGTTCAAAATCTAATGGTTTGTTAGTATTTTTTGAATAGTTCATCTGTTTCATGGAACTTTTTATTGAAAAGTAATACAAACCGTTACTTAGTCTGTTATTATGAATCTTATATCTGCAAAATCTGAATTGCTTATAATTGATTATAACTGTGTCTGAGATAGAACTTATTTGATAGTTTATAAATAGTATTAAGGCCCAGTACACTTTTTAAAAGAGATACTAAGAATGTGCCCCAGCTGGTTAAAAAGTGAAAACTTTAGGCTAAAGTGGGGAACCTTTTTTCTGCCAAGGGTCATCTGGATATTTAAAACGTCATTCGAGGGACATACAAAATTATCATCTTAAAAATTAGCCTGCTATATTTGGTCAAACATTTGACTAACTCACCCCTAAGGTCTTGGCAGGGCTAGAGCAAATGATTTTGCACCCCTGCTTAGTCAATCAAATAGTTTTGTTAATGAAATGGCAGAACTGATTAATGACTAATTATTTACCAAGTGATTTGCATTAAGTACAGAAAACTAAATAAGAAAACTAAAAGTAAGTTCTGAGATGCTGTTGCCATCATATTAATAACTGCTTCATCTACAGATTGACAGATCTTGGGTCTACCCTTTGTAATAATTCCAGTACTTCTTTAATCATGCCTTGGGATTAGCAGTTGTCAGCAGTTGAACTTGAAACAGATTCAGTTACCGGAGTGGACACTGACTCAGACATTTAATGCTACTTTCACCTGTAGGTTAGAGAGAGGAAAAAGACGAGAGAGACCATTATTTGTAGGGTTATATGAACTTCAAGTCTGTTCTCATCATCAAAAGAAGCTATACTTTAAAGGAAAAGAGACAGGGAATGAAATATGTTGAAACTCTAAATTAAATAGGGACTTATTTTTGAACTTTTGAACATTTAAAAGAAAAACACTGCTCTAAGCTATGTTCAAAGTATATTATAAAAATTCACCCAGCATATATGCATAAATATCATATAGAAAAACATAGAGTAAAAAGAAGAGACTCCTGTTCTAGTTCAGAAAAGGTTTTAGAAATCCCAAACCTGAAGAGTTTAAGAAGCTTTCAGCTTTGTTGAGGGATACCTCTTCAAACTCTTAAAAAAAAAATAAAAAAAAAAAAAAAAAATATATATATATATATATATATATGTGTGTGTGTGTGTGTGTGTGTGTGTGTGTGTGTGTGTATATATATATATATATGTATGTATTATTGATTTTTTTACAGAGAAGAGAGAAGAATAGAGAGAAACATCGATGAGAGAGAAACATTGATCTGCTGCCACTTGCACACTCCTACTGGGGATGTGCCCACAACCAAGGTACATGCCCTTGACCGGAATCAAACCTGGGACCTTTCAGTCCAAAGGCCGACGCTCTATCCACTGAGCCAAACCAGTTTTGGCTCTCAAACTCTTTAAGTAAAGGCGATGATTAGATACAAAGTGCAGAAGGTTGTGGTGACAGATTTCCCAAATCATCTTGCAAGAAAGAGGTGGTCCTTGCTTGACCTATGACTTAAACGTGTGTTGGAATTAATTTAGAGGGCAAGAGTGGGAATCCTTGGGAGATGATTCTGCATGTGTCTCATGTTTCTACATGTGTCACATGTTGTGAGCAGAAGCACAACCTGCCTTTGTTCTGAAGTAACTTTCCAGTCTTTTTTTTAAATAGCAATCAGCCATGGAAGACAGACTTAGTGTCTCCCTCTGGAGTAAAGGGCAGACATGCTTACTGCACATTATAAAATATTTGGGCTGCCATAGCTCCGGTAACCCAGTGTGGATGCAGGTGTTGCCTGGCCCATGGGAATTGTGGGTTAGGAACTAACACACATATGACTCTCTCTGGCTGCTGTTGCTCTGAGCGATACTTGTCCTTTGTCTCAAACCCAGGAGTCTCATGTCTCCTACCAGATGGCTAATTGGCAGCTAACTGTTAACATCTCAGAGCTTTTACCATTTGTGGCAGGAGTTGTGTTCCTGGGAGGGAAGAACAGTAAGCACTATGGCACAGTGGCATGAGAAATCACCTCTCCCAGGGGGAACCATAACTAGTTCTCTGTCTTCAGAGCCAAAAGGTCCATGAAGGAGGATGCTAGAGGGGAGCATATAGTTGGACCATATTCCAAAGAGACCTTATATACCATGTAGAAGACTTTAGATGTTATGGGGCAATTATTAAGACATTTTTAGCAGAGGAGTGACATGATCAATTTTGTTAAATTACTCTAGGATGGATTGAAGGTTGGGGCTCTTTTACTCCAGTTGAGAAAAGATAAGACATATTTAAATGTAAAGCCAGTTCAAAAGGAGTGGTAGGTAAAGAAGGGATCTGAATGATTTATCTTAGTCTATAAGGGCATACTGTAGAGTGGGTGGTTTATAAACAACAGAAATTTACTTCTCACAGTTCTGGAGGCTGGGAAGTTCAAGATCAAGGTGCTGGCAGATTTGGTGTCTGGTGATGGCCCATTCCTGGTTCATGCCATCTTTTTTTCTGTATCCCCACTTGGCAGAAGGGACAAAAGAGCTGTCTGGGTCTCTGTTATAAGGGCACTAATTCCATTCATGGGGGCACTGCCCTCATGATCTAATCACCACAGAAAGGCCCAACCTTCTAAAATGAGCACATAGAAAATTAGGATTTCAAAATATGAGTTTGGGGAGAGAGGATAGCAATGACTCCTTGGCTGTGGCTTAGCCAATAAAATAAACATGGATGCTGGTCACAGGATATAACTTATAGGAAGGAAGAGAAGTTTTGGGAAGGAGAAAGGGGAGAGGAAAGACTGAGTTAGTTTTAAAATAACTAAGTTGAGACTGAGGTGCCTACCCAGATGGAACTATTTACTGGCTTGTACTGATCTGGAATTCTTTGAGGTTCAATGGGGGATGAACACTGGGAATTCTCAGGGTGTGTTCAGTAGATGCATTTTGTACAACACTCAAGAGGAGAGGTTGAGAATGCGGTGTAGACTCTCGCTCCACCTGTGACAAATGACTCAGGCTCTCTAAGCCTCAGTTTCCTAGGCCGTAAAAGTGGCAATAATAGTAGTCTCTCACTCATTGAGACTAGGATCGGAGGTGAAGGGTGTTATGAAGATGAAATAACACATGCAGAGCGCTGGTACTTAATAAATAAGTTGTTAATAGCAGTAGCAGCAGCAGCAGCAGGACTATTGGAATGTGGTTGTCGACACCAAGATATTAGGTGCCAACAACCAAGAGAATTCAGGTAGAATGAGAGAAACCAGGAAAGTCATCACAGAATCTGGAAAGAAGAAACCCAGGGAGGTTAAGAGAAAGAGAGAACCACAACTTTTAAGCAGGAAGGGAAGTGGTCAACATTGAGAAACTCACCAGAAAGGACAAGACAGTTACGAACTAAAAAGCTCCCTTTGGATTTCACAACCAGAGCATGCGGGTGACCTTACCAGGAGCAATTGCTCCTTGGTGCTCCTTGACACAGTCCAGGTTTTAGATGGACACTGGGAAGTGGAGACCGTGTAGATTTCATCTTGAAGAAATTTGTGCAGAGAAGGACGGGTTGTAACTGGGGGAGGTTTGAGGTCAAGGGGAAACATCTTTATTTTTAGGATGGAAGAGTCTTCATTCACTACTTTAACATATTTATTGAACCTATTCTGAGTCAGGCTCTGTGCCAGGCACCAGGGATTGAATGGTGAAACAGATAGATGTGACGCCTGTCTTTATCGAGTTCCTCCTCAGCACGGGGGTACATGCTCAGGAAATACTCGGGAGAATGACTGTCCAGGGGCAAATGAGTAGAGAATAGGGCTTGAGGTGCTGTAGAGGCTTACATGAATGAAACAAAATGCTGTTTATGACAGTGTTTGGAATATAATGGCCACCAAGTATCTGTTATTAGAATTTGAGTTTGTGATTCAGAATCTCTGAACTGTGCCAGGGAGAGACTTTTATACTTTAAGTAGTATCATAAGCAGTAGATAAGATGTTAAAACCACTCTGGTTCAACAGACTACGATAATGGATAGCTGATATATATATTTTTTCTTTTGTGAGGTGTTACCAGGACTGAATATGATTATCTTTAAAAAAACAAACAAACAAACAAACAAACAAACAAAACTCCTTGGAGCATATGTTAAATAACATGACAGGGTTTCAGGCTGTCCTGGGAGCGTTATGTTGCTTTTTACAGTGCCTGCCTTTGTGGGCTCTGTGAAGCTTAACTTTAATAGGAGTTTACAGTGGGATCTTTGTAACCCGCCGTCCGTGTAACATTTAGGGCATCTTCAGATTTTATATGAAATGCAATCTTTTTTTTTTTTTTTAAATATATTTTATTGATTTTGTACAGAGAGGAAGGGAGAGAGATAGCGAGTTAGAAACATCGACGAGAGAGAGTCATCGATCAGCTGCCTCTTGCACACCCCCTACCGGAGATGTGCCCGCAACCAAGGCACATGCCCTTGACCGGAATCGAACCTGGGACCCTTCAGTCCCCAAGCCGACGCTCTATCCATTGAGCCAAACCGGTTTCTGCTGAAATGCAATCTTAAGAATGCTCTGTCTCTACAGAGCGGTGTATTTGAATGAATATCCATTTCTTCCTATGTTTCGGGTTCAGGCTTTTAACATTGAATTTGTTGGGGTGACATTGGTTAATAAAATTATATAGGTTTGAGGTGTACAACTCTATACAATGCACCAACTGTATATTGTTTTGTGGGTTCACCAGCCCACGTTGGGTTTTAAGTTCTTCTGAAATACTAGTAATCACTCTTTGAAAGTAGCTTTTGCTGCGACTTCATTAAATTCGAATGCTTCTGTTTCTCCCCCAGGCTTTTGCACCAGGAGCAGGCCAATTAGGTTGCTGGGTCTGCCATCAAGAAGCGTGGGAACGTGTTGCTGAGTTTCCAGACCTTTCCCAAGATGGAACCAATCACATTCACCGCGAGGAAGCACCCGTTCCCTAACGAGGCCTGGGTGGCCTTCAGCCTCCAGCTGGTGGGCTCCTTGCCTGTGCATTCCCTGACCACCATGCCCATGCTGCCCTGGGTCGTGGCAGAGGTGCGCCGGCTCAGCGGGCAGTCTTCCAAAAGGGAACCCGGTACTAAGCAAGTCCGGCTTTGTGTCTCGCCCTCTGGACTGAGGTGTGAACCCGAGCCAGAGAAAACGCAGCAGTGGGATCCGCTGATCTGTTCCAGCATCTTCGAGTGTAAGCCTCAGCACGCTCACAAACTGATCCACAACAGCCACGACCCCAGCTACTTCGCCTGCCTGATTAAGGACGATGCGGCCAGTAGGCGGAGTATCTGCTACGTGTTCAAAGCTGATGACCAAACAAAAGTAAGTGGAGGTGGGCATCAGAGCTGTTAAGGTGTGGCAGGATGGCTTTTACTGTACGGGAGCCTAGACATTCATTTTATGTATACTGGCGTTCCAGATAATGCTGCAGTTATATGCGTAGTATTTCATTGGAGTTTTGGTGTATGGGGGTAGTTTCTTTATAGTATTGGAGAACACTTTATATCAGATGTTGGAAATGATACGTTTATGAGGTAACAAATGGCAAAGAGAAATCTGCCTAAACTTATCAATGAGTGCTGAACTTTTGGGATTGAGATCATTGAAAAAGTGTGTTCTAAAGCTGAGCTACTCAAACAAAAACATGCGTGTGAATCGCTTGGGATCCTGGTAAAGGGCAAAGGCTGGTTCAGTAGGTCCATGGTGGCGCCTGAGACTGCATTTCTCGCCCATGGCCAGGTGATGCTGAGTGGCTGCTCTGCAGGTTGGCTTTGAGTAGCCAAGTTCTTTATTAGTGAGCTCCCCACTTTTTATGCTGTTAAAAACATATATCCTATCTAATAAAGACACAATATGCAAATTGACTGTAACTCTGTGACAAAGACGGCAGCACCCACAGCCAATAAGGAGGGAATATGCAAATTGATGTGATAAGGTGAGAGGCAGAAGGTGGTTCTAGCCCCAGTGAAGGCGAAAGGTGGCTCCGAGCGGGAGCAAAGGCAGTGCTGGCAGCCAGGGGAAGGAAAGCCTATTCTTGCACGAATTTTCATGCATCAGGCCTCTAGTTTACTTATGAACTGTGTGAGAACATTATTAGCCAGTTTCCCAAGGCATGATGCTACTTAGGCAAGGACCACAAGGATAGCGGATATGAATCTTAAGTTTTGATACTTCCAGAGTGGGTGTTTTGTTGTCGTTTTGTCTTGAAAAAAAATTTTTTTTTGCCAACTTTGTGTCAGATCTAATTAGCTTGCTATGGTTATATCTCATGGTATACCTGAGAAGAATATTATATGAGAAATGGAAAAAAATGCCATCAGTTCTACCATTTTCCTGTTCTTTCGTGCTTTCGTTGCTGTTGGTATGTTTTGCCATTCTGTGTAAAACTCGTTTCATGCCCATCCTGGGAGGGTTACTTCAGAAAATGCTGAAAATATAATCCCTATAGCCATTTTCTCAGGTGGACCCAGGTCAGCTACAACTTGGTACAGACACTGGAAAGCAAACAGGTGAGGGCCCCGTTGAGCCGAGGGCCCTATGTGCTGTCTGCCACAGGCATCAGTGCGGGTGCCAGTATCAATCCACCCGGTCAATGTCAGTGAATGGAAACAGCACTGCTTAGGGTTCTCCCTGCATCCCATGAGGTGTTTTGCTTATCTTCCAGGATGCACAGAGCTCATTTGGAAATTCATGTTTTTTGGAGAATGAGTAGATTTGTGGAGATTCACTTTTGTTTGATTATTCCTTGGTTCTTTTACTCATTCATTCAGTGATTGCTGCTTCAGATACTATGGGAGAGGATATTAATACAGGCTAGAAGGAAGGCAGACTCCTCAACAGGTAAATGCCATGTGGTTGTGGTGTGATGGGGAAGACAGAGAACGGAGCCTACCACAGCAGAGTGTCAGGAAGTGTTTTTGCCATAAAGGCTAATCTGGAGCTTAAACCCTCTATTTCCCCCTTGAAAATGGATATCTTCTTCTGGTACATAATTTCATGTTACTCTTCATGCGTCTCAAACCGGTAGGGCGGCATCCTGGTTCGAAGGTTCCTGGATTCCAGTTGTCCACTAAGAGTCAGTGAATCAGGAGGCTTTGGCTAGAAATAAATGAAAAAGATTTATTCAAGGACTTAAGGCTTGCAGACCAGAAACACTCCTAGGCAGTACCTACAGTGTTCTGCAGAAGAAAGAAAAATGGGGGTCCTTATGGTAAAAAGTATGTTCTTGAGAAGAATCAGTCCTACATGCCTGGCCTCTGCATTGGGCTGTGAGGCTCAGTCTTTAGAGGGTTGGTGGTCGTCTAGGTACTGCTGTCAGCAGTCTGAGTACATGACTATGCTTTCCTTAGATCAGTGGTCAGCAAACTCATTAGTCAATCCAGTGTCAAACCACGGCTGGAGAGCTGCAGTTTGCTGACCACTGCCTTAGACCTTCAGGGGCAATCAGAGGATTGTCTGGAGGTTTGTATTATACCTTCAGGCATTGACACAGGGCTGAAGAGTTCAAAAGTTTTAGTTTCCAGGCTAGTTAAAACACGAGGAGCAGCTTAACTGGGGTGACTCCACTTCATTTCCTTAGTCCTGTTTGCCGCTTATAAACTACATGGCCTCAGGCACGGAGCCTGTTTCCTTATCTGTAAAAGGGGGATAATTACAGTCTCCAGCTGATAGAGTTGCCTCGAGGATTAAATGAGTAGAACAGGATTTGAAGCTTACTAAGCATGTTTGGCTCTAAAACAGTTTTCCTCAAAGAAAGTTTTATTGGAAGCCAATTAGAGGCTAATTTAATTTCAAGTCCCAGTCACAGAAAAAAGGAGATCAAGATGAGGGCCTTCCGCTTTCAAGGTGAGATCCTGGTCAACTTAAAAAAAAAGTTAAGCAAGCTTTTATAAACTAGACACTTACAGAGATGCATAAATAAACTTAATGGTTTCTGCTATTTGGGCCAATTCCAGGAGGAAAATGAGAGAATGGAACAGCCTGTGCTCCAGGCCAGCTCTATATAAGGAGTGAGTTTCCTCTAGGAGAGAATAGTTGTTCAGCACTTTACACTTTTGACATTTTTCCCCAAATCTTTCAGAGCCATCTAAGAATAGGGTTTCTGGCCAGTCATTCAGACACCTGACAGGAAGAAGAGATTCATAACTCAATTTGTAATTGGGGCTTCCAGTCTTGCCAAAAAACAGAGAATTGACCTTACCCATACGTATTCTAAAAAGCATGGCAGAAGTATGAATTAGTTGCTAAATTATGTTTGGCTTGTGTACAATATTTTGCAAATACAAATTGTCAGTACTTGGAGTAATAAATTGCTGTCATCCTGCTCATTTTATAAAAAGGGTAATTGGTAACATCGGTACTTCAATCAGTGCTTCTGTTGTTGGGAACGGAATGCTACACGAAACTGGCCGTGTTTCTAACAGGTGCCATATTTCTTATGATCTTGGGATATCCCTGACACGGTATCTCATAACAGAGGGTTATCTGGAGGGTTATCTTATAACAGAGGGTTATATGTTCACCTGTGTCATAATTTCTCCGGACTATTTGTAACATTTCCTCAGTGAATAATTCTCCAGGTTAATACCTCTTCTAAGTGGGTGAGGTCAGCATCAACTGTGTTTGTCAGAGGAGGTATATGCATCAACTGCCAGGGTCATGGCACAAAACTACTGTTTGAGAGGAAACTCGTTGATTAGAATTTCAGTTAATTTACTGAGGGATGTCTAAGGAGAAGAGGCACATAAAGGAATAATTTCATAAGCACAGCATGAGATTGTGTTTCCTATTGTGTGTTCCATAGGACATACTCAAGGTATTCTCTGGAGAAAGGCTTCCATGATCAAAATGCATTGGGGCAGCATCTCAGACCCTTTAAAAAAATATATATATATATTTATTGATTTTTTTTTTTTACAGAGAGGAAGGGAGAGGGATAGAGAGTTAGAAACATCGATGATGGAGAAACATTGATTAGCCATCTCCTGCACACCCCCTACTGGGGATGTGCCACAACCAAGGTACATGCTCTTGATTGGAATCGAACCTGGGACCCTTCAGTCCGTAGGTTGACACTCTATTCACTGAGCCAAACCAGTTAGGGCCGTCTCAGACTTTTTAATCTGAGGACCTCTTTCCACTCTTAGAAATTACTGAGGACCCAAAAAGCATTAGTTTATGTGGGTTACATCTATTAATAACACAATTTTAGACATTAGAACTGAGAAGTTATACAGGCATTAATTTATTTAAAATTTACTTAATTATTTAATTAGATTTTTATTTTAGCTATTATATGTAATTAAGAATTTATTTAATCATTTGATTATTAAAATTATTTAAAAATAAATTCTTACATGCTAGCATGAATACTATTTTTGTGAAACAACAAAACAAAACTATATTTTCCAAAACAATTTAGTGATGAGAGGCATCGTTTTGTTGGCAGTGATAATGGCACCAGGTGTTAGGCTGGTGGAGTCAGATCCGACTTTGGTTCCGCACCTTGGTACCTGAGTTCTGGCTAAGAAAGAATTCAAAGTCAAGACTCAAACTATAAGTGAAACTTCATTTAGAAAGACACAGGTGTGGAGTAGTGAGTCATAAAAGAAATGGGCTTAGGAAACAAACTATAGAGGCAAAGAAGGGGCCCTCGGAGCTTAGGAAAGAGAAGGGTAAAGGTAACACGCTTGGGGGGAATGGGAGGGGCGGGGAAGGCTCTGGCATACTCCAAAGAGGAAGGGTGCACAGGGTTCTCTGTCGTAGGGCTTTTAAGGGTGGGAATTTTAGAGGAGGTTTCAGGGGAGGATCATAATAGAATATTCATCCGGTTTCCAGGTGTGTCCTTCCAGGGCCGTGGTCTCTACTGATTGGTCGGTCCCAGGGCAGGGAGTCATTGGTCAATGCAGCTGGTCTCTGCCATGGCATTGCTAATCTGGTTTTGCTGCTTGTCTGGGCCTGGAGCTGAAACACAACCGAGGCCTAGATGATATCTCTGGGGGTTAATGCTCAGGAAGTGGTTGTCCAGGGGCCACTCTTTGGCCCCTTGTTTCCCCTCCAAGGGGGTCTACCATGTGACTAGCAACGTGCCAGGGGAGGAAAGCTCAGGGGAGGGTCGGAACTGCATGACCAGTGACAGGCTAGGGGAGGAAAGATGACTCTGGGGGCAAGGTATTTGTTTTCCCAGTTGCCAGGCACCCAGGATTTTCTGTCCCGATGACCTGTACCTGGCCTGTCATCCTTGTGTTGCCGCTGGATATAGGATTCTTCCATGGAGTTGAAGGAACAGCATGTCGGTGACCCATGCATGGGAGGATATTAGC